TCTCTCTCTATCTCTCTCTCTCTCTCTCTGCGCACTTCTTCATTCCCTCTTTGCACTTCCTCTCTCTCTCTCTCTCTTTTTGGTTATTATCCGTGTCGCTGTTCTTATCCCGGCGCGCGGATGAAACACTCGGCGCGCTTGACGGAAGCACCCGGTGACACGACCCGGATGACCGGAGTCCTGGATTGTCCTGGATAGTCGGCGCGCGTTCACCCGCGTAGTACTAGACGCACGGCGCGGCCAGAGAGAGCTCTGGAGAGAGCGACGCAGCGACGACGTTCGGCGATCGGCTCCCCGGCTCGGCTCGCGCGGTGTTGGGTGTGGTAACCCACCGGCGCTCCGTTCCGTCTCCCTCCTCCCTCCCTCCTTCCCTCACTCACACACTCTCTCTCTCCCTCTCTCTCTCTCTCTCTCTCGCTCGCTCGCTCGTTCGCTCCCTCTGTCTCGCTCGCACGGCTCCGCTTTTCTCTCTATCACGCTCTCTCCGTGGCACACGCGAAAAGCTGTCGCTGCTGTTGCTGCAGCCGCTGCTGCTGCTGATAGGTGGTATTACGGTTGCTGCTCCAACGCACCGAATGACACGAGAACACAATATGAAGATTACCACGAGATGAGCGCGGCATATGACTACGTGCGTGGTCACGTTAACGACGACCACGACGACGACGGTGACGACGTGTCGAGTCGCCGCGCGAGAGAGAGAGAGAGAAAGATTTCCACGAGCGATACTTGGTCGTCTCTATCTTATTGGTCTTCTCCCTCTTTTACCTATCTATCACTCTTTCTTTGTCTATATTACTGCGGCTGCTGCTACTGCTGCACGAGCGCCCACACCTCTCGAGCGGAGCAACTCCTTGCGACACGCGCCGCGCCCGTCTGGCGCGCAGCTTTTATAAAGCGTCGCGCGAGCCGTGAATCTTGTTAGACCAAACCAGATTGGTGAAGCCCCGCGACACGGCACCTACGGCCAGCTCCTCCGTTTCACTCGTGGTTGAGGTGCCTGCGTATCACCAGCACCATAGGGCGCGGGGGGCGCGCACGTGTCCGCTAACGAGATTAAAATCGCCGACAATCGCCGAGTAGGAGGAGGTGCGGCCGCCACCCGTCGGGGAGGAGGCACGGAGAACGTAACGGCGCGGCGCTGCCTGTCTTACCTATCATTGCGCTCCCTGCTTTACCGATCAACCGTCGCCGGTGCGGTGAAAATACGATTCTATAATTCTATAATAAGCCTCCTAAAAAAAGAACTCTTCGATCTAATACGAATTAATAGAATATGTCATCTTAAAATATTTGAATTTTTTTAATGACACTCTCGCCTTTCCGTTCCAAGAATTTAAAAAATCTTGAATTTCTCAATTTTTTGCTTTGTAAGCTTTGTAGTAATATTTCTATTTTTTTATCTGCTTGATTTAATTCTTTTGTCTTTATCTTTCATTTAAATTGTTTTTTTTTCTTCATAGTGACGTTTTCTGCTATTTCCTTTTCGTTGATGCAAATCGAAATCTTCGAATTGAATTCTTCTTATCCACCGTAGGATTCGTAGTCATCCCATTGGCTGATGCTCTTCACTTGTTCAATTATTTTTATATTAAGAAGCTGCAATGCTGAAAAAGATGCGCTTCGAAATTTTATTAACAAATTTGTCAATTTCATTTGAACTGAATAGATATCGTTCTGGTAAAAAATGCGCAAAAAAATCTAAATTAGCATTTACAAATTAATTTGGAAACGTAGCGTAACATTGATTCCCTATATTTCATCACCTGCGTTGTTTCTCTATGCAGGAATCAGTAAAAACGCATGACACAACTGTTACTATTGTTTGATAAGAGGATTAAATTTAGCAGGCTTCATGAAGCCCATGTCGACAGATTTCTGAATATAATATATACATGAACTCTTATAATAAGTTCTAAAAAAAAGTATAGGCTTGAGGCTTGTCGCGCTTGCAATCATTTCTTAGTACACTGATCAATTTTATTTTATTTTATTTTATTTTTGCTCGTGAAAAGCTGCGGTTTTTTTGTTAGATATATGATATAAATTTTGCAAAAATAAAAATAAAAAAATTTGTAATAATCGATGTACATGATAATTTCGTCAACTTTTGTAACGAGTAAATGTTTAAAAAAATTATAAAATAGAGATAGAAAGAAATGATCAGTTACGCGCCCATTATAATGAATCTTTATTTCCATTGTAGACAATTTTTTATCTTATTTATCTATTTTTTGTTTTCCTAATTGCGTTATGTATCAATATATAAAATATTAATTTTTAAATGACACACATGGATCATTCATGTTCATATATATATCATTATTTCAAATCTTTCAAGCTTTAAAATCCTTTTTAGTATAAATAATATAAATGATTTTTTTCCTTTAAGTGGGAAAACAACCAAATTTAAATTTATCTTCCAACACTGAAGAAAAACTTGCTAACGGACACGTATAACCCATATATGCTTAAACATTATTTTTGACAAAATAAACATTTTCTTTTCGCTAAATTTTTGCTAATTATGCATATTGATAAATATTTGTCAATCTGAATGTCATAAGAGATTTTTTTTTCCCCTATCTGTAGATAATGAGATTAATGACGTAAAAAAATATTTTTTTTATTTTACTATTGACTATTATTGTTTCATTGTTTATCTTTTTTATATATTTGTATACTTTGATAGTAAAGTAAAAATCAAATTTTCTGAGTTTTCTTACAACATTTTAATTATCAAACTGATATGGAGCATTTATCGTATATATCTATCTTTGTCAAGTCCTCTGCACTTATACAAGATAGAAAAGTATATTTTCATATTTTGGATAAGAAGAAAAGATATTGTTTACTGCTCTTTCCAATATATATATATATATATATATATATTTAAGCATCTTGCCAAATATACTTAAGTAAGCAATACATTGATACTTTCAATTTTTTCTTTCCTTCGTTGATTTGTTTTTGTCTCATAAATGCAAAATAAATAACATACTTGTGTTTGTATACCATAAAAAAAATTTAATGCATAATTAGCGAAAGGGATTTTTTTGTCATATCCTTTCTTAATATTTAAATGCATTATCTTTCATCATCTCCACTCGATAAATATTTTGTTTGATAAAGTATAATCACATAATTATTATTGCACATAGTATAATGTAAATTTCGAGTTTGAAAGGATTAATTAAAATTTATTCAAGTATTTCTCTAGGATTGCAAATGTGTACAGACTTTCTTTTTCTTTCTCCTTTTGTTTGTTAAAAATATTACAATATTTTTTTTCAGGAAGAAATTTAAGAAAGACAACTTATTAATAACTTCTGCAAAGTCTAATAATTTTGTAACATTAAATCTATCCTCGAAACAAGTGACCTCTTTCACAAAAAGGCACTTGAACTGTCCCGTATCTTGCACAGTAGACCAGCATGATAAAATAAAGACACACAATTCTTTCAAAGCTGATATTTTCTCTTAATGCTAAACGCTGTAAGTATGTACGTATGAATATATGTATATATATTATTACAACACTATTTATTACACAAGATGCGAATACAAGATGTTTCGATAGATCTAACGAGTATTGATCGAGTTTACAAAAGTTTTAGGGTTGAATTGTTACGTATTCGTTTTCTATCTTGATAATATGAATAAAATAGATACGGGAGCGATAATAATTATAGCAATATATATAATAACAGTAGTAATAAAATATAATAATAATAAACGCTCTCTCGTCGCTACCCGATTTTCTACATACATGTACATAAAAGATTTGCGAACAAATGAAATTGCGAATAAAATCTGCGCAAAATAATTCATGAATAGATTTTACTGGAGAAAAATTCGCGATGCTCCAAAAAGCGGAGAAACAAAAGAACAACAAAAGAACTATCAATCATAAATACACAAAAGTTATACTCTCATCTCATTTATACATCGTAATATTTATTTCTCTCACGTATAATCTTTTCGACATCCATTGTTACGCCGTTGAAAAATTTGGCATGCGAATCGTGGCGAGATTTTAATGGGAGCTATCACTAGACTCTCGAACTGTAGGCGAGTAAATAGTATAGAATCTTACCTTACGAATGCAGACAGGTAGTTGGACCTTAAAAATTTTATGATCCCTTCTCCCATTAAATAGTAGAAGGGGATTTACTGAAGTGGCGCGCACGTCTTTAAACTTGAAGATGTACGTCTCTTAGTAATAATTTTCCAGTGGTCACAAAGTTATCTCGTAAAATATTCTTAAATCGTATATATAGATCTATGTACACAATTTCATAAAATAATATTAATTTAATATAGATTTCGTTTTATATTATATAATATTGCATATCGTTGTGTATATCGCATGTATGTGCGGTGTGTTTTTTATTGTGTATACGTGTTACAATATATTATTTAGTCGCTTAAATATGTCGTTTGATTATTATTCATGATGTGTATCGTACGTTTGATATGAGAGGGTCAATCCCATATTGTTTTGACGAATAAGAGTGAATGTTGGCACAGACAGTGGCTGGGTTAAGGCACTTTGGGGTGATTGATTCTCTCCGCAGTACCCTCCAGCATAACTATCTTATCGAATTCTCCCCGCTCCCTCTCCGTATTCCTCCTGCAACCTTGTCGCCTGCTTTTTTCTTTTCCGTTTGCTTTTACTTATATACGCTGTACGTAATATTATTCTCGCATGACCGCGCGGCTCTTTATCTCCCACTTAATTACGCGATTCTTTAACTACTTTAAAGTAAAATACGCTGTCTCTGATGAGCATTGGAGTGTAAATGGCGAATCGAGCACAGCTTTCACAGCGGTTTCGTGAAGTTTCCCGGGAACATACCCTTTTCATTGGTTCCTTCTTTGATACCCATTAACCAGCCTTCTTCCTGTAATGAACAAGAAACATCATAAGAAGAAACGTCGGACATGTTAATGAATACATTTAGATTTTTTAACATGTCGAGTCTTATTTATTCCAAGAATTACGAACCTGTTCTTCAGGATCGTCGTATTCCACCACGCGAATAATCTCGCCAACGTCGAACGATAATTCGTCCACATCCTCACGACTGTATTTGTAAGTGGCTTTAACCCTGTATAAAACACCCGGCGGCAGATTGTCTGTTGTCGCCCCTATAGAGAAATTAGCAGCATTTTCATATTCCGCCTCTAGAATGATTGAGTCCGCCCCGTTAGTCATGGACCTGTCTGTGATTTTGTTCGCATGGAAACTTTGATATATATATATATATATATATATATATATATATCAATTGTGTAAAGTTGTGTTTCATTCGTTTAACGCTCGTACCACATTAACGATTGAAGATTGCATCTGCGTTCTTGACCAATCAAAAAGAAATTGCCGGCCAACAGCTTCTGATTAGTTAAGAGACGCAAATGTGGACACAATCTCCAATCACTAACGCAGTGTGGGCATAACTGCATAATTAACGTTTAATTTCACATCTAGGTCAAATTAACTACGATCTTGTTTCGACAAGACCATGCACATAGGGGCAAGCAGCGTACTATTGTTGTATTAACAATTATCCAATATTGCAAATTTAGTAATATTTGATTCATTATTACGTTACATATACAAGCAAATTTGTTTTGAAATTCGAAACAATTTATTGAGCTCAACTTTATAAAATAAATCAATCGACAATTAAAATATCGTTTATTTGTTTTCGCCAAAGTACAGTTCAATTATTTTACTTCATATTTACTAACTTCGATAACAAGAATCTTTGTTACCGAATTATACAAGTATTTATAATATTGCAAACGAACGACGCTAAAAACACTATTTTAAATTATTAAAGATAAAAATTCGACAATGAAATGATTACTCAAGATTATTTCAATTGAATTCGCTAAGATCAAATAACGTTAGCAAAAAGGCACATTAAAAAACACGACAAAGTTTAAAAATTCGCGAATTCGCTTACCAACTGGAATATCATACAGTTCCTCGACTCGTTTAGAAGGCGCGACTGCGTTCTGCGGCGACACATCCTGATTATTGAGAGAGTTATCATTGCTATTAGCGTTACTATTAGCGTTGCTATTAGCGTTGCTGTTAGCGTTGCCGTTTATCTGGGTGGTCGGCGACGTGTCTCTAGCAACGGGCGCGGTATCATCTAAAGCTGAAACACGCGAGAGAAAGCACACTCAAAACTGAATGCCGAGCCACAACACGGCTTTGTGAAGCTCAAAGCCTTTTGGAAAATATTTCGCGTTTTGTTCTATGTGTAGCGAGGACGCTTGCAGGCATACAAGTGTTAGTGTAACATATATGTATGTATATATGTATATATAAAATTAATATACACGCGCACAAATTCAACTTGAACAAAGATACAACAAAATAATTACCTCCTGAGATATTGTTCTGCGCCGGCTGCGTATTAATTATTAGGCTGAAACAAATCAGTATTATTAATATTATGTAACTGTTACATATCTCTTTCGGTTTTACATTTTATATTAATTATTATCGTACCATATTTTATGTAACAATCGCTTTAATACTATGTTTTGTATAATTGCAGCTTTACCAAATATAACGTTTTTCTTTTTTCTTTATAACTATTTTTATTTCTTCGCAATAATTTCGATTTTTGCAGACTCGATCTACTTACGATGAGTTTGCATTGGGTGACTTCGGTGATTGCGGTTCCGTATTCTTCTTCAACGTGTAAGATCCTCGCTGACTTTCGTTAGCCAATTTATCAACGATTGCTTCTAATTCAGAATATACCTAGGAATATGAATGAAAAAAAATATAACAATTATATTATAAAATTCTGTAAATTAAAAAATTTTTATACTTCAATAGAGAAATCAAATTAAATTCACATTAAAGTCTGTTAGAAATTAATAAATAAAATTCTGTATTATTAAATCTTGATTGAAAGAGTTTAAGAAAAAAATTTTTTAAAGAATCCATTCTCATTATTTTTATTGATCCTTATTACTAATTCTACTTTAAATACCTTGGCACTTTCAGTATGAAACACTTGCTCTGCGGCAAAGAGTGTCTGCAAATTTGTGACGAGGAAAAGAACGCGCGAGTCGTATAATGCTGGCAGTTCGTCGTGCAGCTCTGAGTTTAGTTGTTCATATGTACGTTTTGCTTCTTCTAATAGCTCCTTCCCCCGGGATACTTTGAGTTCATCTCTCTTCTTTGGATTACCCTGCAACGACTGGAAGTTGTGTCTTTGACTGTCGTAATCCACCAGTTTGCGTCCGCGTTTGTCGACCTTTTTCTGGAAGATCAATGAAATCCTTGAAATGTAATATCTTCACGTATTTTATTATTAATTTCCTAAACTACAGCCATTATTTGATCCTGTTGTAGAGATCAAGTAAAATTCTCGATTCATTTTCAATCTTTATTATTATCAATTTTACTATACAATTTTACTATACAATTTTACGTGTAAATTATTATTCATTGTTTATAAAGGTAAGTAACAAATTATTATTTAATTTTTATAAAATAAAAAATTACTATTTATTACTTTATATACTACTCTAATTGTGATTTCAATAGAGTTTTATTTTTAAAACAAATGATGATAAAAAAATATTATTAATAAAGAAATTGTGCGCAACTATCGAGGATTGCACGGGACGTACCCTCATCTCTGGGAATTGACTTTGATACGTATTGAGTGGTACAAGAACCTGGTCCGCAAGTTTGTGAGTGAAATCTTGCCACAGCATGTCAAGATTTTGTGCCTGCACGTACAATAGATCGTGTCCGGTCCATTGACTCTCGTAGATCTCATTCAACGAGTCCATGAGCGTCTTTGAAGCGGCCTGCACCGCTGCAAAATGAAATACACGCGTCGCTTTGCTCAATTTTTTTTCATCTATTTTTCATTAGCATTTTATTTGTCATTGAGAAAATTTTATTATTGCTAAATGGAAAAACGTGCAGAAGATTCATAAAGAGATTCGCGTGGCAAAGATGTATTGGAGGAAGATGAAGAAGACGTCTCAAATTGAAGACGCCGCGTAACGCGGTCGTCGGGAGAGACGATGTTATTTCGCAAGCCATAGAGAGAAACTTTTTCACGCCGATTTTCCATCACGGCGATACGTGTCTTTTTACTTCAGGAATAAATGTGCGACGCGGGTGACTACTTTCCTGACCTACATCTAAACCTCTCCTAGTGCATTCACCTGCGGCGATAAGCCGATTGCTTACAAATTCCTTCTGTAAAAGTTGCAGAACGACGTTTTATCGGCGTTAAAATTTCAAATTGCAAGAGTACGAAAGATATAATCTTCTATATACTGATATGACATTTTATTTATATGTAACATTGAAATAAAATTTTCTCTCAAAAGAATTTCTTTTAATTCTATTATTATATATATTTGATTTGTACTTACAATATATATTTTGATTAAACCTACAGCATACATCCCAAAAATATTACATTTAAAACCTAACTGAATATAAAATAAATAAATAAAATAAACAAAAAATAAATGAAATAAAATAAATTGCTTCACATTGCTTTCACATAGCAAATATCGACTTCTAGTGAGTCAACGAAGTTGACAGTTGGTGCAATGAAACTGTAAGCGCGCATTTCTGTAAAAAATTTACTGTAAAATAATTACATTTATTGGGGCAAGCATAATTAAGCAGTTTCACGACTACATTGTAAATTAATTTTAATAACCACATATAAATTTTAACAGACACAATTGATGGCACAATCAACATCATTCATGTGGCGCAAATGTACTTAAATGATTCGTCGTTAGTGCAAATTACGGTAAACGGGCTGCCATAATAATAATTCTCAGTATAATCGCTTTTTACCCGATTCAATGAGTCGCGCACACTGACGTCCTCATTATAGCTCCTTCTTTTCTCTCATCTGGAACTTGGACTCAGACATAGAGCATACGACGACGAAAAATTTGCGAAAATTGTGACGAATCGTCGGCGATCGAATTTGCAACGCGTTACAGACACACTTTCATCATATTTTACCATTGCCCGCATTTATAATGACAGAGGGACTTCGTCGACACCTACTTACCGACACGTTTCGCATGCGGGTATTTATGCCCGTCGGCTAAATGATAAATGAAAAGGTAAGAGCTGTTAATGCGGATCCTGTGCACTTCGAGATTAACACCTTCTCTGAGGAAGTCATGCGTGACCGCATCACGACATTTATCTAACGGGAAACAGCGTCTCCGAATTTCGTACCTATTTTTTAAATACATTTTTGACGATTTTTAGTCGGTCTCTGGTGAAAATTAAAATTCGTGGTCAGCGGTGTCGAAACGCAGAGGCTGTAAAAACGGTCACATCGCTATAGACCAGTCAAGCATGAAAAAGTTGTTTGCGACTAACAATTCGAGTGGGGGGAATTAAAGATCGAATGACGTTTTTCTATTGATTTCGCGTGTGTTTGCTAGCCACGTGTCAAGACTCGTGTGAGGTGAGAGAGAGAGAATGAGCGCATCGCCGGGTCTCCAGCTTTTAAAACGCGTAATTCCACTCATGAAGCGGAAACTTCATAAAAACCTAAAGATTTTGTCGAAGGATCATCGTGTGAACGTCAGTGTCAATTACCTTGCAAATTAATATAATAATTTTGATTGATATAATTTTAGTCAATAATCTAAAATTGATAATAAATTTATGCCTAATGTAAATTACAATATACTTCTACAACACAATATGTATATTACATAATCAATAATCATAATCATGATTTTGCATTATAAATTACATATTATGCCATTAGAAGTCAGAAACACGAAACAAGATGTAACTATCAAGTAAATTTTAACTTTCTGCTGAAATTTGAATAGTACAAAGTTGTCGTACTTACTGCGCAAAATATTAATTATCTCGTCATCGTATCCACATACAGAAAAAAACATACTGTACACAAATAATAATTAATCGTTTTAAGAAGTATTTCAAAAGTTCATATATATATATAT